ATCAGGAATGCATCCTGTCTCCATACCTTTTCAATCTATATACAAAACAGATCTTTTGGGAGGCTAGGCTTTATGAGGAAGAATGTGGCATCAAGATTGGAGGAAAACTCATCAACAACCTCCCTTATGCAGATGATACAACTTTGCTTGCTGAAACTGAAGAAGAACTGAAGTGCTTGCTGCAGAAGGTCAAGGATTGTAGTCTTCAATATGGATTGAAGCTCAACATCAAGAAAACCAAGTTTCTCACCACTTAGCCAACTGGTAGCATCATAATAGATGGAGAAGAGATTGAGGTTGTTAACAATTACAGCTTGCTCGGCTCCACAATCAAAACTCTTGGCACCATCAGTCAGGAAATCAAAAGATGAATTGCATTAGGTAAATCTTCTGTCAGGGACCTTTCAAAATACTGAGAAGCAATGATGTCAATCTAGAGACTAAGGTGTGCCTGATCCAAACCATGGTCTTTGCAATTACTTGCTATGCATCTGAGAGCTGGATAATGACTAAGGATGACAGAAGAAGAATCAATACCTTTGGGATGTGGTGCTGGAGAAGAGTCTTGAACATATCATGGACTGCTAAGAAAACAAATAGGTCTGCCTTGGAGAAGATGAAACTAAAGTTCTCCTTAGAGGCTAGGATTTTGAAACTCCATCTCACATATTTTGGGCATGTGGCCAAGAGAGACTGATCCTTGGAAAAGGACATCATGCTCAGAAGGATGTAGGCATAGCACAGTAGAGGAAGACCCCAGATGAGATGGGTTGATACAGTAACTAGTACAATGTGAGTAGATGTGTTGGAATCAATGAGGCAGGCTTAGGACAGTGTAGGATTCAGAGCTATTGTACATAGGGATATGAGTTGCAGGTGACTCAATGGCACATAACAACAATTCTATCTAAGAGACAGAAAGGTAAATATTTTTCTTTTTGCATTAATCATATTTAAGTATATATTTCCATGCCTGTTTTTAACAACTCTACTATACCTGGTATAGGCCATAGTCTTTGCAATACTTGCTATGCATCAGAGAGCTGAACAGTGACTAAGGAGAGTGTATGCCTTTGAGCTTTGGTGCTGGAGAAGAGTATTGAATATACCATGGACTTCTAGGAGAACAAACAAGTTCATTCTGGAGATGATGAAGCCAGGTTGCTCCTTGGAGGCAAGGATTCTGAAGCTCCATCTGACATACTTTGGATATATTGCAAGGCGGGATCAGTCCTTGGAAAGAGACATCATCCTTGGGAGGGTGGAGGGACAGCTCAGGAGAGGAAGACCCTCAATGAGACGGATTGATTCTGTCACTGGGATAATGGGGATGGGTGTGTCAGAGACAATAAGATTGTCAAAGGGATAGAGTAGGACTTAGGACTGTTGTACATAGGGTTGCTATGAGTTGCAGGCGACTCAATGGTACATAGCAACAACAACTATACCTGAAGAGACAAAGCCATATGGTACAGAAGCTACTCTTCTTATTATTTAATTGGTCAGGTAGAGCAGTCAGTACTTATAGAATGAGAATTTTATAGACTTCTCTTTTTCATAGGATCTTAGTTAACACGTTGCTGCACACTTTTAAATTGACGACCGTGCTTAGAAACACATTTTTTTTTCACTCTAGCCATCATTTGCAGCAACGTGTTAAACTCTTCCTCTCTTTTCAAAGACAAGATTCTCATAGAACCATTTAGAAAAGGCAATACAATACCAATTTGTGTATTTTTTAAAATGTTCTTCTTCATCTTTGGTCTAATGACAAGTCAAGACTCATTTTTTTCCTAAATCATGTCAGATAGAGTTGTTGTTAGATGTCATCAAATACAAGTCATCTGAACACTGTCCTCTTCTTCACAATCTCTGACACACTCAAGCCTTTTGATGCAGTCACCATGTGAACCCAACTGGTTCAGAGTCTACTGGACAGAGTAGGAAATAAAAACGGTGACTGTCATCTCATCATTGTGTGGGCCTGTGTTTGCAGGAATCTGTTACTGATGTGGTACGCAGCTGGTTCAGAAGCGAGTGTGGCCCCTCATGTGCTGAAGACACTCTTGCTGATTCTGAAAGGAAAGCCTGGAGAAAGCTTGGAGAAAGACAATTTAAGTGAAGGAAGACGTCTTTCTCTGGATACTGCCAACATGATGCCTGTGGCCGTAAGTAATGTGATGAATACTTTTTTCTCTCTTTCTCATTATGAAAATACCTATCTATCCACAGACTTATTAACATTTCTTTGGCCCAGTTCTGCTCTCATTAATTCATCTGATACACATTTACTGATATTGACTAAATTCCAAGTCCTGCTCATATTCTAGTGAAAGAAACAAATGATGAACAATTCAATCTATAAAACATTGAATGGTAAAAAAGCTTATAAGAACTATTGAATAGAATTGGAGAAAAAGAATCACAAGGCAAATTTACATAAGTTAGTCATGACAAGTCTTCCTGATGAGATTAGGGAGTAATTATGTGAATATCTAGGCAAGAACTTTCTGAACAGATAGACGAACAAATCCCCACATGGAAAGGAGATTACCTGGGATGTCAGTGCATGCAAGGAGATCAAGATCCTAGAGTCAATTGAGCAAGGACAAAAGAAGAGGTAGCCACTTGATCATAAAGAATTGTGTAGGCATGTGTCTAAGGAACAGAAAACATAGGGGCACAGGCCCATGAGCATCTTTCTGCAAGGGCCAGAGGGAATAAAAATAGCACAGTTCCTCATCACCCCAGCTCCTCATCACCTCAGAGCAGAAAACACATAAAGAGTCTGTAGCCCAGCCCCATGGTGTCTCTAGAGCCCCACCAGCAAAAAAAGATTTGTTTACTCACTGTTCACTCACAGACTCACAGTTGTGGTACTAAGAATAGGGCTTATCAGGGAAGTAAGTTGGAGAGTGAGGGAGGCAAAGAATATCAGTCAGTGCAAATCCAAGTTTTAGCCCAGCAGTCTCAAGGCACAATTCCTCAATTAGTCCAGGCTCCAGTTTCATTCAGCAAGCAGCTTTTCCTTCCATCATTTAAAGCAAGAACAACAAAACTTTTCCCTGTGTTCAATACAAATGCAAGAAGCCTCAGGTCACAACTTTCCATAGTTTCCCCACAGCAATGCCACAGTCTCTCTTGCTCCAGTCTCCCTCAAGTCTTGCTGCTCAGTGTAGGTAGCACTTGTGTGCTCTCTCTCTCTCTCTCTCTCTCTCTCTCTCCACCCCTACCCTTCCCCTGTGTTCCACAGCTGTTGATAATTTGTAAGACTATGTTTCTGCGGTTAAGGGAGCTGGAGACTAGGGAGTGCTTAACATAATGGCTAAAAAAACCCAACTTTTAGGTAATAAATACCACAGCATGTGACAGCCTAATCTCATTTGTGTTTCTCATAAAGTACTGCTCCTAATGATCACTATCATCACTGTTGGGAATACTTTATCTTTTATAGACATACAATAGGGAAAAAAAAAAGACACTTCATAAACAAGTAAGAAACAATGGGTTGTGGTGGGAATTTCTGTGAACAGTGAACCAAATGATCCACGGCTGACCTGACCTTCCTGACTTTAAATAGCTCACTCTTTCAAGGTAGAGAAATTTTAGGTTACTGCCAGAGTTAAGTATTTTACATATTAGTATTGTTCAGTATATTTAATTTCCATGCCACATATGAAGGTACCTAGGGATTTATGCTTTTCTTTCTTCCTGCTGATTGGTTGAGTGTCCTAAGTCTTGTTTATAGTGCTTTGTAACATTATTGCTTAGGCAATTCCTAATTCAAACTTGAGTTAATAAATATGGTTGAATGAATGGATGAATTTACATGCATGTTTTTACTTTCATACATTAAGCTTCTTTCAAGAAAATTAGGAGAGAACCTAAAAATTCTCTGCTTTACACTCCAAATAAGTTGACTGAGTTTAAAGGGTGATGGAACAGGGAATTTCAGAGTTAACTTTCTTAACTCCTCTTTCTCTCCTTATAGGCATCCCAGGCCCTGTGCACATTGCTGCCTGTTTGTTCTTATAAGAAAGCAGTAGCCCAGCTCTTCCCTGAGCTCTTGATGGCCCTCATGCTTCAAGTCTTCTACAGCTGTGACCTGACTCTCTCCAACAGCAATCCTTTGTGAGCTAGTAGTAGTTATATCACATTGAATATTAGAGATCAGTTTATATCCATCAAAAATTTTTCATTTCCCTGAGTTCAATTGTGAAGTATGTCTAATGCATTAATGTATCACCATTTCCACTCCTCTGATAAGTGAAATGTCTTCAGGAAAGTAAATATGTTGAGTACCTAGAAGCTAGCTGAGTACCTTGAATAACCAGTGAAAATAGGTAAGACATCCCACTGGAATAGAAAACTATTTGTTTCTGCCACGCTCACTCATAGATCAATGGCAAGACACTGAGGATAAGGAGAATTGGGTAGAGCATTAGGTCCAAAGATAGACATATTCAATCTCTGCTACTACTGCCTTGCATGGCTATATGTGCCCAATAATGTAGGGTACAGTTATGCGCTCTGTGACCTGTAAAGTTGTTGAGTGCTTGGCGACCTGAAGTGTGGGTCTATGATAGCCATTCTGCCATATATAGCATGAGAAGGAGCAGGGAGCACCTTCCCCCCACCCTTTGCTCATGTAGGTACAATGAGCATCTCAGCTCTGCAAAAAAAGTCTGGACTCAACTCTCTTCTATTTGCATTTGCTGTTGTGGACTTTAATGGCATCAGATCTATTAAGAGTGTTTAATCCACTCATTGATTTCCCTAAGCAAATATATACATTATTATCCCAACTAGGTGAGAACATATCCATGTATTTGAGGCATTTGAATGAGAAAACCATTGACACCTTTATCAAGGCATCCCATCACTTAAAATTCTTTTCTAATAAGTCAGTCTATGATTAACCTTAGTTAATCAACTAAGTGCTCCAATTTGAGTATGACCTCTTATATGTTCATTGCCTTAATGATTGTACTATTTGTTCATTCAAGGATATGATGAATATTTAGGATTCACTTTCCATGTAACTCTCCCTTCTCAAAGCTTGCATCCCAACCAAGATAAAAAGGCTAAGTCATTACCCTGCGTACTTGGGTATTTTAGCGTCACTGACTTGTCATGACTGCTACATTGTTCTCCTTTGGGACCTCAGCTTTGCCAGAGATGCACTGAGAATCCTTCTGAAATGTTCTGGACTTCAAGAGGTCGAAAGTGTTCTTCAGAAAAACAACTGCTGGAGCCAGTTTTCCCAAGCGCTATTTCACCATCATGGAATCTACCTTATTGCCAAGTAAGAACAGAGGGCTATGCTGAGGGTTCTTGGTCTCCATCACACCTCCACCATCTTGCTTCACTTGAACAATAAACACCATGACTACCAGCTGGCTCTTAAAGAATCGAGTTGTCATTTGATTTTTACTTCTTCAGTGGTTCTAAGAGGATGGTTTGGTTTTTACTTATTTGGAAAATTATTCCCTTAATTTTCCCCTCTTTCTCAATGACATAGAACAGATTACAGATATGAAGGACCAAAATCTGAGTCTGCTTTTTTCATCCTCTGCTTATAATTGAGAATGCTGGTGAGTTGCTGGCCCTAAGTCAAGGATTGTCTAACAGTTCAAATTCACCAGAAGCTCTACAGGAAAGAGTTAGACAGTCTCCTCACATGCTATTTCCAGCCCTTGAAACACACTGGAGAGTCCGCTATAAGTTAGACCACCTCAAAGGCAATGTGTAGATCGGGGGGAAGTTCTTAAATGATTCCTATACTGCAGGCATCGGACAAAAAAGTTTATGCACCACTTTAGAGAATTCTGATAAAAACCTGAGTGCAATGAACTAAATATATTTTGGGGAAACCATAATGGAAAACTTTTTTCTAATTTTAGACATATGCTTCTTTCTAGTTAGCTTTTGATTGAAAATCAAGCTTGGGATTAGGGGACTCAGATTTTTCTGATCAAGAATCATGATGCATGACTTTGACACTATAAGAGCTTTCAAAGTCAATATTGACCAGAAAAGTACAACTTATGTGACCTCTGTACTCTTGGTGCTTTAAAGATGTATCTGATTTGGACAATCATTTCAGAAATACACCTTATTGTTAGAGTGAAGCACACAGGCATTGGTCTCTAGTTGAGTCATTATCCATGGTACCTTTGAATTTTCTCATTCTCAAAGTGTGGTCCACAGACCAGAGGTAACCATCTCTTCTCCTGGGAGTTTATAAAAAATACAAAAATGCAGGCCCTAGCCCAGACTTGAATTGCACTAGGGTGTCAAGAAACCAAAACAAAGGGAATAAATGTTGAAGTAAAAAGGATGGACTAAAGATTTCAAAGGTCTGCTCAAGAAGACAAAGTGAAGTATTATAACGAAATGTGCAGAGAGCTAGATAGGGAGAATAAAAAGCTATGAATTTGCTTAGTATTTCTCAAGCTAAAAAAAAAACCAAAAACCCCTGAAAAACAAACTCCAGCCTCAAGTTGCAGTGTTGAAAGATGCCATGGGCAAAATCTTGAATGACCAAGAAACATCAAAAGAAGAAGAAAGGAATACACATAGTAACTATACCAAAAAGAATTGGTCGACACTAAAACTTTCAGGAAACACCATAGGAACAAAAGCCAGCAGTAACAAAGGAAGAAGTCTAAGCTGCACTGAAAACATTAGCAAAAAAATAAGGCTCTAGGAATACATGGGCTACTGATTGGCATTTTTCAACTAACAGATGCAGCCCTGGATGTGCTCACCAGTCTATGCCAGGAAATTTATAATACCACTAACTGGCCAATTTACTGGAAGAGATCCATATTTGTTTTCATTTCCAAGAAAGGTGATCTAAAAGAATGTGAAAATTATCAAACACTATCATTAGTATCACATGCAAGCAAAATACTGCTGAAGATTATTAAAGAATGGTTAGAACAGTACATAGAGAATTGCCACAAGTTTAGAAGAAGCCATGGCACCAGGCATATCACTGCTGATGTCACATGAATTCTGGCTGAAAGCAAAGGATACCAGGAGAGTGTCTATCTGTGCTTTATTGACTATGTAAAGGCATTTGACTGCATAGATTATAGGAAATTATGGCTAATTTGGAGAAGTAGGGGGATCTCAGAACATTTAATGGTGCTCTTGATAAAATCTAGACCTAGAGGTTATTGTGAGAACAAAACAAGGGAGTACCACCTGATTTAAAATTAAGAAAGGTGTGTATCAGAATGACATCCTTTCTCCATATCTATTCAATCTATATATTGTAGAAGCTGGATTCTATGAAGAAGAACTTGGCACAATCTTGCTTGCTGAAAGTGAGGAAGACTTGACATGCTGCAGAAGATCAAAGACTATAGCCTGCAATATGGATTGTATCTTAATGTCAAGAAAACAAAAATTCTCGCCATTGGAACAATAAGCAACATCATGATGTATTTGTTGTTGTTAAGTGCCGTCGAGTCGCAGGCGACTCATAGCAACCCTATGAAGGAGAGTCCTCGATGCTTGGGTGCCTTTCATCCTCTCTCCAGGTTCATAGGGTTTCTGAAGGAAAGCTATTATGGAAGTGGATGCCACTCTTCCTTCTAAACATCATGATAGATGGAGAAAAGACTGATCCTATCCACGACTTCATCTTACTTGGACCTACTATCAATACAAGTGGTACAAATAGTTAGGAGATCTGGAGATATATTGAACAGGTAAAGTATGAAGTCAGGGACCACTCCAAATTACTGAAGAGCAATGATGTCAGTTTGAAGACTAAGGTGTGCCTGATTCAAGCCATGATCTTTTCAATCACTTGCTTCTGAGTTCTGGACAAATAATAAAGATTACAGAAGAAGAATTGATGTATTTTAGTTGTGGTGTTGGAGAAGAGTACTGAATATCCCATGGACTATCAAAGAACAAAAAGATATATCTTGGAGAAAGTGAAGCCAGAGTGGCCCTTGGAGGCAAGGATGAAAAAGCTTTTTCTCACATCCTTCAGGCATGTTACTAGGAGAAGATATTCCAGGGATGGGGCATGATGCTTGTAAAGATGGAGGGTCAGAAAAAGAGAGGAAGATTCTTACCTAGATGGATTGACACAGTAACTGCAATAAATAGGCTTGTGTAAATCAGAGATTGTGAGACTGGCACAGGAAAGAATAGGGTTTAGATTTATTGTTTATAGAGTCACTATGTGTGTTCAACTTGATGGCACTTAAATACAAAAACAAACCCAACCCCAGGGCTACTGATTTAGAATCTAAATTTAAGGCAACTCCCCAGATGATTTGAATACACATTAATGTTTTAGGAGCATTTCTTATGAATACTAACCTAGAATCTTAAAATATAAGTTCTTTCACAGTATTTTTCCTACACTGATCCAAATGGCCATAAGGTGTGTAGTGTAGTGTATAGAAGTCAAAGTATGGCTCCAGTTAACAATAAGCTGGAAATATCTTTCTTTTATCTGAGTGGAGCAAAAGATGAGGATTATGACTCTTTCTGTACCACCATTAACATTTGCTAATGTAAATCGCATTTTCTTCTGTTTTTCTAACTCAGTACCCCATTCTTCTTTACAGAGCTCTCAGTAACTGTCGGTTTCCACAGTTTCCAGAAACCTTGCATTATCTCTACAAGCTCTCGGTAGAAGATCCTAGAAGGTCAGAAGACAGTATCATCATAGTGATATTCCTCACTGAAGTGAGTTTTATTAGGAGTCTTGGAACAACTGAGTTTTCATCTCATTCCTTTACTTAAACTTAACCCTTAGGCCTCTCACTTCTGTTTGTAGTTATTTGTTTTAAACAAGAGTTAAGAGTATGATAGACACCTGAAGTTGGGAGGGGCAGAGTGGAGTTAAACATGGACCATGAAAGGGTTGTCCTTTAACATGCTTCTGGAGTTGACTTTTATCTTTTACTATGGAAAGTGAATTTTCACAAACACATTTTTTATATTACTAGGATAACTTGATTTATTAAAATGGTAATGCTTAGTGTATAATTATACTCTAGATTATCTGGAAAAGAAAAAAAATTGAACAAATAATCCTTTATCTTCTAAGACGTAGAACCACATTACCTTGTCTATGAATATTAATGCCATCATGAATTAAATGCTATATTGAATCAAGAACATTGATGCAGATTTTTGCTTAATAAAGAGTAGAAAAGTTACTGCAAATTGAATTTAAATTAATTGAATCTCATTTTCTAGAAAAATAATATTGTTTTCATGTTCTTGCAATGGTAAATAATGCTGCTATGAACACGGTGTACATGTTTTTGTTTGAGCCTGAGTTCTCATTTTGGGGGAGAATATTCCAAGCAGTGGAATAGCTGGGTCATATGGAATATCTATGTTCAGCTTTTTGAGGAAGTGCCAAACTGGCTTCCAGACTGCTTGTATCATTGTATAATCCCACCAATATGTTCGTAGTGTAATAATGTAAAAGAGTTCCTATCTCACCACATCCTCTCCAACATTTATTACTTGTTGTCCTGTTAAACTTTGCCACTGCTACTGGAGCAGTTTTGATTTGCATCTCTCTTATTGCTAATGATTTGGAGCATTTCTTCATGTGTCTGTCAGCCATTTGAATATCTTCCTCTGTGAAAATTCTTTCCATTTCTTTTGCCTATTTTGTAATTGGGTTATTAGACTTTTTCTTGTGGAGACCCAGGAATATGCTATAAACTTTCATTATGTGACTCTTGTCTGAGATGATATTGTCAAATGTTTGTTCCCAGTCAGTAGGCTTTCTTTTTGCTCTGTTGAAAAACGATTTTGATGAACACAGGGATTTAATCTTTATAAGGAAACATGGAAACATAGAACATGGAAACATCCCAGATGTCCAACCACAAACAAATAGATTGAGAAGTTGTGATATTCATACAATGGAATACTATGCAGCATGCAGTAACAATCATTTTGTAAATTACTACCTAACTTGGGTGACTGAAGAGTATTAAGCTGAGTAAACTAACTCAGTCCCACAAGGATAAATACTGTATAAAATCATTATTGTAGAATAAGTCTGAGGATCCAAGGTGGGAAAGGAAGAGGTGGAAGAGGTGGAAATAGAGGGGTGATGATGGGGTGGGGGTAGGGTGCTAATCATAGGATTGTGCTAATCATTGCACAATTCATTGGGTGCGTAGGGTGCAGGAAATGAGAAAGATCTTTTGTGAAAAGACAGTGTATTTAAACTTTGTAAATAAATTTAAAAAAAATAATATTGTAAAAAGCAATTTACATAAGGTATTAAATATATTTTTTTAAAATTTGAGATTATTTCATTTACCATCACAAGAACATGGAAACAGTCCAAATGTTCAAGAACAACTGAATGGATTGAGAAACTGAGGTAAATTCACACAGTGGAATACTATGCAGCACTCAGGAGCAACAATTTTGAAAATTTCTATATAACTTGGGAGAGACTGGAGAGTATTATGTTGAGTGAACTAACTCAGTCTTAAAAGGACAAATACTGCATAAGACCATTATTGTAAAAGTAGAAGAGTAACTAAAAAAACATATATGGAGAACCAAGGGAGGGTAGGAGTTGAGAACAAATGGATGAGTATGGGTAGGGGGAAAACCACAGAGTTGCACAGTTTTGTGAATGGGGGTGTGGGGGAGAAGAAAATGTGAAGAATTTGGCAGAGACCTGAAAAGATTGGGTAATCATGGCAAGGTCCAATGGTGACTGATTTTAAACATAATACATGGGAATGACTGTATAGAACACAATATGAATGAAGGCCAGTGTGAAAAACAGTGTATATGAACTTCGTGAGAAAACCAGTATTAAAAAAACTCCAAACAAAAACCAAAATTTAAAAAGTGAGATAATTTCAAATATCACATTTAGCAAAACAGACTAAAAGGAATATACTCATATACTGTGTTTTCTACTTGTAAAGCTTTCTGAAGGATTTGTAAATTAATTTAGTTAACATTGTAGTAACAAATTAGAAATGTTTTCCAAACTTGCATAATTCATTTGTATCATTATTTTTATTTTATGTCTCATTTAACCGGTATTGTATTTTACATTTGTACATGTAATAAGGTATAAAACATAAGTTGAACTCCTATAATGTAATCTAAAAGAAACTCATTCGGTGTGCAATATGAACATTAAATTTATTTATTAATATTTTTTGAGCCTACACTACTAGATTTCATTCTAAGGTTTTCCTTTTTCCCCAACTAAAACATATCTCTTTTAATCTTTACTATTTCTTTATTCTAATTTTCCTTAGCCTTAATTTTATTTTTGGTGATATTTTGTTTCTCTTAATTTTATGAAATAAAAAATGTTTATCTTTAATGAAATATTTAATATCAGTTTACACATTTACTTCCAAATAGAGTGTAACTATTTTCTTATATACCTTTATTATTTTCCTTGCTTTCTATATTGTAGGGTTTATTTCTTCAAAGGCTTAAGATTTTGAGTCACAAAACAAAGAGAGGAGAGTTTCTTAAATTTCTAATTATGTTTAGACTTCCTCCTTCCCCATGTAATCCTTTTTGGTGGGTTATTATTATTATTATGCAGTTGGAAAATACGCACCTTGCTTCTTTTATTCTGCTCTGGGAAAGTTACTTCTCTAAACTCTATAAATATACAGAAATGATGTTAGTTATAGAACAGAGTTTTGTACAGAAATGGTAGTTATAGAACAGAGTTCAGGTCTTTTGTGCAAAACTTACTCTCAGTCGTCTTCAACTTGACAACACTTAACCACTGACAAATGAAATTGTTGTTGTTGTTATGTGCGGTCGAGTCGCCTGCGACTCATAGCGACCCTATGAACAACAGCTCTAAACTCTGCTCTGTCCTGTGCCAATGGCACTGCCTCTGATGCTCCCATCCCAATTATCCCAGTCACTGAATCAATCCACCTCATAGAGGGCCTTCCTCTCCTGTGCTGTCCCTCCACCCTCCCAAGCATGATGTCCTTCTCCAAGGACTGGTCTCTCCTCACAACATGTCCAAAGTATGTTAGACGAAGCCTCAGAATCCTTGCCTCCAAGGAACCACCCAGTTTAACCCTTCCCAGGATGAAACTAGTGATGTTTATATCTAGAGAAACACTCTTCCACTTTGTAAATCACTCTTTATCAGTGTGCAATATGAGGTAATCTGGGTTGCTGTGATGCTAAACCTTGTACCATTGGGGTGTTGAATACCAGAATTGTTTCACAATGTGGACAGAGTTTGGTAGAGCTCCCAGTTGTAAAACAGGTCTGGAAGCAGGAGTGGCGTCCGCTTCCTAAACCACATGCTTCTGGAAACTCTATGAACTTGGAATTGACAATAGTTATGGAAAGACCTTAGGTCTTTGGTTCATAGAGTCGCTATGAATAGTGCTTAACTCGATAACAACCAACAACAAAAACATTTAGATTGAAAGTTTCTTGAAAGATTTAACTAAAACATATTTTTCTTTTTCCCTGTCTCTTCCTTTCTCTACATATTTGATTTGATTCAGTAATATTTAAATTTTACTGTAAAATTATGTATTCTAAAACATTAATAATGTTTCTAAGAGATTTTTATCAATATTTGCATTTTGGCTGCTTTGTTATAAGACGCATAGCTGCACCTTCTTTTTGATTATTGGTTATGAAGAATTTGTTGTTGTTAGATGCTGTCGAGTTGACCACCACTCCTAGACACTGTATGAACAACAGATCAGAACGTTGCCCTATCCTACAGCATCCTCAGTCTCTCACGATCAAGCCCATTGTGATAACACTGTCTCAATCCGTCAGGTTAAGGCTCTACCTCTCTTTTCCTGACCTTCCATCTTTCCCAGCATCTTAAGGACTCATACTCCTTAGCCTGGCCTTCAGGTTCGAGGATCCTTACCCTGCCTGCCCTCAAGCTTTACCATCCTTTTCCTCTCCATTCTTATCACTCTTCCCTTCTTTTAGGGAATCACATGCCCTATTTCATTCACATCAGGGTCTTCGTACATGGCTTTCCTTCCTTGAAGGGATTAACCTCATTTTACCAGGTTAACATTAACTCTCCCTTAAGTCCAAATCTGGATTTCACTTTTTTATTTTAAATTCCAATTTTATACTTTTAAACTACACAATCCAAGTTCATCTTTAAATGTTCCTCTCCTGCACTAATTACAGTTGGCAAATGTGCTTTCATTACACTTGTATGTTGTTGTAGTTATGTGACCTTGAATTGGAACCAACTCATAACTAACCCACTACCAGATTTTCAGAGACTGTATATCATAGGAGAGGAGACTGTCCATCATTTTTCAGACAGAACACCAGATGGATTCAAACCACCCATGTTTTGGGTTGGCAGTGCAAGTTGTTACTCACTAGATCACAAGTGCTTCTTACATTATATTTGTTATTATTATATTCCTTCAAACTATAAACAATTCTTAGGTTTTCAGATGCACTAAATCACAAGGGACCATTTTCCTCCCTCAGAGCAGCTCTTAGATTCCAACCACCAGCCTTTTGATTGATAGCATAGTTCCTTAGTCCTAAACAGCCAGAATTCCCTTATAATTGCATAGTGTAATTGTATAGTGTAAAGAACAAAAGATCAAAATGGATGTCAGAAGAGACTGAATATTGCACTACACCACTGAGAAGCCAAAGCAAAGGGAAGAAATCAAGAAGTTAAGGAACTGAATAGAAGATTCCAAAAGGCAGCTCAGGAAAACAAAACAAAGTATTATGAAATGTGCTAGGACCTGGAGTTGGAAGATCAAAAGGGCCAAACTCACTCAGTACTTCTTAAGCTGAAAGAACTAAAGAACAAATTCAAGCAACAAGTCGCAATGCTTAAAGATGCTATGGGCAGAATATTGAATGCTTCAAGAAACATTAAAAGAAGATGGAAGGAGTATACAGAGTCATTATAGCAAAAATAAGTGGCTAAAACAGAAGAATTTCAAGAAACAATACCATGATCAAGAGGCAATGGTAATGAAGGAGGAATTTCAGGCTGCTCTGAAGGACTTGACAATAAAAAAAAAATAAAGCCCAAGGAATTGATGGAATATCAATTGATATATTTCAACAAATAGATGCTGCCCTAGATGTGCCTGCCAAGTTGTGCTAAGAAATCTGGAGGACAACTGCTTGGCCAGTTGACTGGAAGAGATCAATATTTATTCCCATTAAAAAAAAAAGCAACCTGACAGAGTGTGGAAATTATAAAAATAATATCACTAATACCACACCCTAGCAAATCCTGCTGAAGATTATTCAGAAACAACTGCAACAGTACATTGACAGAGAACTATCAGAGATACAAGGTCATGGTACTAGAGATATTATTGCCAATGCCAAATGGATCTTGGCAGAAAACAAAGAGTACCAGAGGAATGTCTATCTGTGTTTCATTGACTATGCAAAGGCATTTGACTGTATGGATCATGATAAATTATGGCTAACCTTGAGGAAAATGGGAATCACAAAACACATCATTGTGCTCACACAAAACCTCTATTTAGACCAGGAAGCAGTCCTCAGAACAGATCAGGGAAACACTGCATTGTTCAAAATCAGGAAAGGAGTGTGTCAGGGATGCATTCTGTCTCCATACCCTTTCCATCTATTTGAAGAACAAATCATGGGCCTTATGAGGAGGAATAGGGCATCAGGATTGGAGGAAGACTCTTCAACAACCTCTCTTATGCAGATGACACAACCTTGCTTGCTGAAACTGAAAAAGACCTGAAGCACTTGCTGTAGAAGGCCAAGGACTGTGGTCTTCAATATGGATTGAAGCTCAAAATCAAGTAGACAAATATTCTCACCACTGGGCCAATTGCAGCACCATGATAAATAGAGAAGAGATTGAGGTTGTTAACAATTACAGCTTGCTCAGCTCCAAAATTAACACTCTTAACACCAGCAGTTAGGAAATCAAAAGACGAATTGCATTGGGAAAATCTACTGTCAGGGATCTCTCCAGAGTACTGAAGATCAACAGTGTAAGTCTGGAGACTAAGGTGCACCTAATCGAGGCCGTAGTCTTCACAATTACTGGCTATATGTCAGAAAGCAGGACAATGACTAAAGATGACAAAAGAAGAATTGATGCCTTGATTGTGGTGCTTGAATATACCATGGACTGCCAAAAAAACCCAAATAGGTCTGTCTTGGAGAGGGGGAAACTAAGTTTCTTCTCAAAGGTTGGGATTTTGAAACTCCAGCTCACATACTTTGGGCACATGACCAGGAGAGACTGGTCATTAAAGAAGGACATTATGTTTGCAAGGGTGGAGGGACAGCACAGGAGAGAAAGACCCCAGATGAGATGGATTGATATAGCAACTGGGACAGTGGGGGTTGTTGTGTCAGAATTAGAGAGACTGGCTCAGCACAGGGCAGGGTTCGGAGCTGCTGTGCATAAGGTTGCTATGGATTGCAGGCAACTCAACAGCACATGACAGCAACAGCAATAAAGGGGAAAAAAACCTTTATGGAGAAATTGACCCCAAACAATTTTTTAATATGGTCTCCTAATATAATTAATATTGAGTAGTATCATCGTATAGTATCTTTACTCTTAACTTTTTATAAAGTTCAAAGGTCATAAATTAAGACAGTTCCACTCACCATTATATCCAAACCCTCCTCTTCAATTTTTAGCAGTGTAGCTGCCTCATAGAAATAATGATTTATTGTTGTTGTTGTTGTTGTTGTTTTTGTTTGATGCCGTCAAGTCGTAGACGACTCATAGCGACACTATGAACGAACGGCCTGAGCACTGTTCATACATAGAGTTTCCGGAGGCAAACCATTTCAGAAGTGGATGCCGCTCCTGCTTCCAATGATTTATTAGTATAATATAATTATGGCCATGCTGTTATCGTTGTTGTTATATGCTGTCAAACTGTCTGCAACTCATAGCAACCCTATGTACAATAGCTCTGAACTGTGCTCTATTCTGAGCCAATCTTATTGTTTCTGACACTTCTTTTCCCATTACCCCACTCACTGAGTCAATCCATTTCATCAAGGGTCTTCCTCTCTTGTGCTGTCCCTCCAACCTCCTAAGCATGCTGAACCTCTCCAAGGACTCGTCCCACCTTGCAACATGCCCAGAGTATGTCAGATGGAGCCTCAGAATCCTTGTCTCCAAGGAGTAGCCTGGTTTCACACTCTCCGAGATGAACCTCTTTGCTCTCTTAGCAGTCCATGGTATATACAATTCTCTCTTCTCCAGTGCAAAAGCTCAAAGGCATCAATTATCCTTCTATCATCCCTTGTCATTGTCCAGCTTTATGATGCATAGCACATAATTGTGAAGACCATGATCTGGATCAGGTGCACCTTAGTCTCCAGACTGACATTGTTGCTCTTCAGTACTCTGGAGATGTCTCTGACAGCATACTTTTCCAATACTATTTGTCTTTTGATTTCCTGGATAGCCATATAATCTGTGAAAAGATAATTATGTAGTTAATGTGTGAACACCGTAGTAAACCTTAAGAAAGCCCATTTCTGGTTTTCCCTATCACCACTGCTGTCATTAAAACTTCTGGTAGGACAGAGATATAGGAAGAATATAGCAGTCTCCCATCCCCAGAACTGATCACTTCCTGAGAAACTTAATAACATCAAAGCAGGCCATCTGAAAGACCATACCAGACAATGGATCCTGATGAGCTTCTGGGACTGATCACAATAGCCTAAACCAAACTTAACTAACATCCCATAAATTCTGATAAATATCATCTTTCTTAGTCTTTCCCAGGACCCCTATAAGAAGAAACTGTCCCCAACTGCCTGTGTGCCATTTTTTTTTTTTTTTACTTTCTCTGCTCCTGGTCACTTGGTGTCCCTCTCAGACCATGACATAAAGGCCTGTTCATTTCTTAGGACCAGTTTCTTTCTTTCTCTCTCTCACCCTCAATACTCTTTTTCTATCTAACATGAGGGACCTCAGCACCTGAGAGGAAAATGGTGGGAGCTGATGGAGTGAGAGGAACCCAGAGGGTAGGGAGTAGAACTCATCCAGCAGAAAAGCCTAATTGTCCTCCAGATAAAGCCTGAAAGCCAGCACCCAGAGACATGCCCTCTGCCTCACTTTCCAGTTTCCCATCTATATTTTAGTGCTGAAAGAGTCTTGTTTGTGGAGGTATTTAAACCACTAAGGGGAAATCATAAAGTAAAGGAGAAATGGCTTTATTTAGAAAAGACTATGTTGTGGGACCATAAACAAATGTATAGACATATATGGGGTTGAGTGTTGTCTGAATGGCTCTTAAACTATGCATACCTATTTATATAAACATTCACTGTCAAGGAACTCCTCCTGACAACACTTCCAGAGACAGACAGAATTGATTCATTCTGTTTCCAACAACAGAGGAGGAAATAGCGGATGGACAAACAGATATAGTATCTATTTTCTACCGGCTGACACTTCTCCCTCCTTCTATAAGTACAGAGATATATGTAGGAATAAGTATTTGGAGTTTTTGCATGATTTGTGTTCAAATTTTATTTTAAAATCCTTAATTTTTATGATTGATATGAAAATAATTCACCTTTCAAGTTGCTTATCAGCTAATTTTTTTTTCCTCTCACCAGCTTTTGAATAACTATTTCAAGGATCCATTTCCGGAAGAATTTTTGGTCCTCTTCAGAAACTGGGTCAATGATGCAAACCCTTCAGTGAGCAAACTGAGCCTGCAGAAAATTGCCAGTATGGCACCAGTAGTCAACAAGGTAGGGGTGTCTGGCTTTGTGTCTTCTAGCACCATCAATGCAATAAACTTGTATTGCTCAATGTTCTTTTAAAAATAAAACAAACATTTTTTTTCCATTATCTGTAGTGCCAAGCCAACATCAAAGTCTAGTATTTTATCAATAAGGAAACTGCACTTAAGTGAGCCACTTCCTCATCTTATTTATATTTTATTCAGAAAACCATTCTTTTCACTCAAAACTCATTTATCAATTCTGTCCAAAACATGGGCCCTGACTAAATCTCCAGTTCGGAGGCTCATGTGTGAAGCAGTTGGATTCTGGAGGTAATTTCTCTTGTTTTAGTTGAAAGTTGGGCGTAAACAGTTTGGTTGGCTTTTGTATTAATTCACAATCATGTGTGAGCTAATTGGACTTAGCTAATGATCGGCTGTGGGCTCACAGTTTCTTGTTTAAGTCAATCAGAACCTGGTGGGTGGGCCTTTATATTTAAAAGTCAGATGGGCTCTCAGGTCTATGGCCCTCCAACCTGGTGTTAATTGCGCTTGAGAAGAACATTCTCCTAAGTGGTACAACACTGGTCTGTCAGTTTGCTTTACTGAGATAACTTGGGGTTATTGTGATTCTGAACACTGTCCCATTGGTGTGTCAAATGCCGTAACCGTTACCCATGGTGGACAGTGGTGGAGCTTCCAATTAAGACAGGCTTGGAAGCAGGATTGATCCATTTCTTAAACAACATGCCTTTGAAAAGTCCATGAACATTAGAGAAACAATAATAGTTATAGAATAGGATTTAGATATATTGTTCATAGGGTCGCTATGGGTTGTGCTCAACTCCATGACACTTAACAACAACAGCAGCAAAACAAGTACTCTTCTTAAGACAATCCACACACACACACACACACACACACACACACACACAAATTCTGTCTCAGATCATATTAATTCGCTTATTTGCATTGAGTCAAATTCATAGCTGATTTTCATTGGGTTTCTGAAGCTATAAATCACATGGAATGAGATATTATTATGGGTCAAGTACTGCAGCCTTCAGTATGGACTGAGGCTCAATGTCAAGAAGACAAAGATTCTCACCACTGGACCAATTGGTAGCAGCAGGATGGATGGCGAAGAGATTGAGATTGTTCACAGCTTCAGTTTGCTCAGCTCTATGGTCAACAATCTTGGCGCCAGCAGCCAGGAAATAAAAAAATGTATTGCAATGGGAAAGTCTGCTATTAGGGACCTCTCTAAGAGCAACGGTGTGTCTCTGGAGACTAAGGTGCATTTGATACAGACCATGGTCTTTGCAATCACTTATTATGAATCAGAGAGCTGGACAATGACTATGGAGGACAGAAGAATTGATGCCTTTGAGCTGTGGTGCTGGAGAAGAGTATTGAATGTACCACGGACTGCCAAGAAAACAAACAGATTCATCCTGGTGAGGGCTAAACCAGGCTACACCTTAGAAGCAAGGATTCTGGGGCTTCGTCTGACATACTTTGGACATTTTGCCTGGAGGGACAGGTCCTTGCAGAGGGACATCATGCTTGGGAGGGTGGAGGGACAGTGCAGGAGAGGAAGACTCTATGAGGTGGATTGATTCAGTGACTGGGGTATTCGGGTGGGTGTGTCAGAGGCAGTGTGATCGGCACAGGATAAAACAGGGTTTAGGGCTGTTGTACATAGGGTCGCTATGAGTTGCAAGCGACTCGATGGCACATAACAACAACAACAACTTTTCCCTTGGAGCTTGAATGGGAAACCCTATAAACCTTTCAAAATGGCTACACTTACCCTGATCTAGCTGAGTTTCTAGGAGACTTGTTAGCTATTCTCTTCCTGGAGTGATGGCAAAACTGACCACTCCCTCTTGTTGTTAGTTATGCCTGCATAACTAGATACACATCTTGCAGGTGACTGTTTTCCCTTAAGCATATTTTCCACAATGTCAAAGTTTTCCATCAGCCTATGTATTCTTAACTTTATTATGTATTGGGTTATGTTTGTGTGGGGTATAAAATAGTTAGACATTGCCCCTCACCTTGAGCAGAAAATTCTCCAGGTAGCCACTGCTGGAAACTTACGGTGCCACTCCTATCATCAATAAGTTTTCTGTTCCAATAGTCTACTAATGTCTTTTTGTGTGTCCCTGGGACAGTTTTTCAGCCTGTTTGTGAACAACAACCTTGAGGGACGTTTCCTTTGGGGAACAAACTCCAACAGAGTCACCGTTAGGTTTGAAACACGTGAAAAGCATGGCCTTTGGGTTTGGAGTGAAACTCTGTAAGGACTATGCCGTCAGAGCTACCTTATTTCAGAAGACTCAATTTTTCTTCCACTCAGAATACTTTTATCCCTCATCTATCATCCATATTTACATATTTTCCCTTCCTATAATTAGGTTAAATGTCATTGCACAAGGCTGATTTCCATCAGCATCATCCCACGTAGAGGCACACCAGCCATAAGCACTAGCTTATTCAGTATTTTTGCAATGGTGGATACCAGTGTATGTATGGCTCCTCAACATCACCTAGGAATTTGATTAGAAATGCCAATTTTCAAGCCTTATTTCAGACCTATAGAATCAGAAATTCAAAGGGTAGGGCCCAGAAATCTGTGCTCTCAAAAGTTCTTCAGGTGACTCTGATACAGGTTAAAGTTGAGAATTCCTGTTTGCCTTATTACTCACTCTCCCATGTGAATGCATCCTGCCTACCACATAGCTTGATTCTAAATATGCCTCTATCTTTTGTAATCTCTTGTAAATTCCCAAGAATCTTTCAGAAAGCATAAATATTCCATAAATCACTCTTGATTTAATAAATTCTTGTTAATCTATTGAGCATCTTTTCTCAAAGTTTAACACCTGCCAGTAGATAGCATTTTTAATTTGAAATGAAAAGAGCCATGAGCTGTTTGTCTTAAATAATTCAGAGAAGCCAGCAGATGTACTGGTGGTGTACATTCTAAGCAACAGGTTTTTTATTGCCTTGTTCAGTTTTCTCAATGTTATTAGCTAAGAAACTAGGAGATTTTGTGACAAGTCAGTCAGGAGAGTGAAAGAGAAGTTCTTGGATCCCACCAAAATGGACTCATAGATTCCATATGAGAGACAGAATAGCATTTTCTCAGAGGACTTTCTTGATTATAGTCCTGATTCCCCCCCCCCCACCTTAGAGTTGCTGAGT